GTAGGATTGTTAGTTTCCTTTATGGTTACCTGAATATTTACCCCTATTTTTCTAAGTTTATACCAGTCTTTTATTTCTTTATATTACCTTCACTTCCCCTCCATATGTAAAATCTATTTGCATTTTTTATGTCCTTGTTTTTTTTGTTTTAATGTTGTACTTTTTTTCATGTTGATTTCTCTGTTTCCCTATTTTCAATGTTCTAGATTTAAGGTATTTTCAACTTCCGTATCTGAGTCAGTATCTGGTTGCTCTGTCCTGTGTTCTAGTCTTGCGTTGTTATCTGATGTTATTGATTTTCTAACTGGAGGACTCCCTTTAGTATTTCTTGTAGTTTTGGTTTGGTTTTTGCAAATTTCCTAAACTTCTGTTAATCTGGAAATGCCCTAATTTCGCCATCATATTTGAGAGACAGTTTTGCTGGATATATAATTCTTGGCTGCCAATTTTTTCCTTCAAGGCTTTATATATGTCATCTCATTGCCTTCTTCCCCGCATGGTTTCTGCTGAGTAGTCCAAGCTTATTCTAATTGACTCTCCTTTGTAGATGACTTTTCTTTTATCCCTAGCCAGTCTTAAAATTCTCTCTTTATCTTTGGTTTTGGTAAGTTTGATTATAATATGTCTCGGTGACTTTCTTTTGGGATCCACCTTATGCGGGGTTCGATGAGCATCTTGGATAGATATCTTCTCATCTTTCATATCAGGGAAGTTTTCTGCCAACAAATCTTCAACAATTTTCTCTGTATTTTCTGTTATCCCCCCACCCCCCAGTCTGGTACTCCAATCCCTCGTAGGTTATTTCTCTTGATAGAGTCCCACATAACTCTCAGAGTTTCTTCATTCTTTTTAATTCTTTTTTTCTGACTTTTCTTCAAATAAGCTGGCATCAAGTGCTTTATCTTCAGTGTCACTAATTCTAACTTCTACTGACTCAATTCTGCTCTATGACTTTCTATTGAGTTGTCTTATTCTGAAATTTTATTGTTAATCTTCTGGATTTCTGATTGCTGTCTCTCTATGGATTCTTGCAGCTTGTTAAATTTGTCATTATATTCTCAAATAACATTTTTAAGTTCCACTACTACTTTGTCTGTATGTTCTTTAGAAGTCTCTACATTTTGAAGAATTTTCTTTCTAATTTGTAGAAGAGTTCTGTATATTAATCTTGTATTCTACCTCTGGTAATTCCAAGAAATTCTCTTCCTCCAGAGAATTTATTGATTCTTTATTTCAGGAGCTTGCTGAAGCCATCATGGACTGCCTCTTTATGTGATTTGATATTGACTGTTGTCTCCAAGACATCAATAAGTTATTATAATTTTATTTTATATTTGTTTAGTGTGACCTAGCTTCTTGTTTTGTTTTGATATGCCAAATAAGCTGCTTGTGTGTGCTAGTTTGATTATTGGTGCCTTTGAAGCTCTAACATCCTGTCTTCAGGTAGTTAGTTCTGTAACTATGTGCATACAGGAGTCCATTAAATTTTCCTTTATGGATTCAGCTCAGGTGTCCAGGCAGTTGGTCACCAAGTGTGTGGTGCAGCTCTCACCTATAGTCTTAGAGAGGCATGGGTGATTAGAGTAGGCACAGGTATCTGGCTGCAGTAGGGGGTCATGTGCTGAGCAAGGCAGGGGGCTGATGGCTACCCCTGAGTGTCTGAAAGGAAAGCATGTCCCTATTCCCTAGAGTGAGTAGATAGGCGAGTTTTGCAGCCAGACTAAAAGCACCCTACTCGGTTGGCTGTAAAGACTCAGGGGCACACTTATTCTTGGACCCCTGTAGCAGGTGACTAGGTGGTGTAGGTGGAGCCACTGTCCTCAAGTCCCGGTGCAGTCTGGTAAAGTGCCTATTTAAAGGGCTGGGCTGTGTCAAGCATCACAAATCCACCACTTCACAGCTGAAACAGTTGAAGTTAGACTTCAGGTGTTTCCCCTGTTGTACTGTGGTAGTGAGGGCTTATGCTGTTGAGATGGGTCCACACAAGTCTATACAGGGGTGGAAGGCACTCAAAGTCTGTGGGCCCCTTATGTCTGTGCCTACCAAAGGAGTTGTGCCAACCCTGAGCTCCTGGCTTAGGGGAGCCAGTAGCTTATTTGTTCTCTCTCCAAGGCTAGGAGAATGGGTCAGGGTGCCTTATGGGATCTACTTCCGGCCCAGGGGACTCAGAGACTTTGGAAGCCATCTGGACTGGTGCAGAGCAGGGAGGGAGGAGGTAAAAGGGAGAGAGGTTTTTCCCAAATGGCCTTTTTTTAAAAAAAATCCCCATGAAAGGCCACATGCCATATACTTATCTTTAGCCACTTGGGAGCTGCTTTTCACTGGTTTGGAGTGTCCAAGCAGAATCTCTGCTGCCAGATCTCTCTTGATGTGGAAACTGCCTCCTGAGCATGTTCACGGAGCTATATGCCTGTTTCACTGTGCACCTCCAAGCCAGTTGGGGCTGAAGAGTTGTGGCTCCAGCTGAGTCCGGTCTGGCACTGCTCGCTTCTTTGGAACCGTCTCCCTCTCTGCCTGCCACTCAGTCCGATTCCTCAACTTTGCCTTGTTCGGGGCTCCTAGATATTCATATACAATCAGATCACTTGTTTTTCCAGGTTTTTGTTGTAAAAGGGACATAGGAAGACGTCTGACTACTCTGCCATCTTGGTCCCGCCCTTATTCAGCTACTATTTCATTCCAGATACTAACTAAACTAAGTCTTGGAGGTAAAAAAGTACGTAAAATATCTCCACATTACTCAGGGTACTCACAGCTTAGCAGGAAAGACAGACACAAAATTAAATAAAAGTAATGTACAACAAAGTCCCTCTCAACCAAATTAAGGAGCTCTAGTAGTGCAATGGTTAAAGCTCTTGGCTGCTAACCAACAGGTTGGTGGTTCAAACCCACCAGCACTCTGCTGGAGAAAAGACTTGGCAATCTGCTCCTGTAAAGATTGCAACCTAGGAAACCCTACGTGGCAGTTCTATTCTGAGTCACTCTGAGTTGGCATTAACACGACAGCAGGGAACAACCACGCAAGAAGTGCATACAAGAACTGGTCATTTTTCTGTGGTGTTAAAAAAAATCCTTATAAAAGAGATAATTTCAGGCATCCCTGAGAGAGGAGATGGAATTTTCCAGATGGAGAAAATATTCCAAGTGGACACATGGGGGAGGAAATCCAGTCAGAGGAAAGCAGATGAATAAAGACACTAAGTACTGAAACTACAGCAGCTGGTGAAGTGGCAAGTCATGTTCAGAGTCCTGAGGTCAATGTAGATGAGGACAGGGCAGCAGGGGAAGGTGATGCTGATAGACTGGTCATGGAGAGTTGAGCCTTGTGTGTAAAGTGAGGGAATGTGTCTTCCTCCTCCAGTGGGGAGTCACTGGGAGTTTTTAAGCACTGGAGGTCAAGGATGACCTTTGGGTGTTACCAAGATCTCTCTGGATCATTATGAATATTGGGTTAGAGATGTGTCATCTTAGGATTACTAGGAGAGATAAGGAACTAAAATAAGGCTGTGTAATTGGGAGCTGAGAAGTGTAGAAAGAATGGGAACATTTGAGAGAGAGAAGAAAAAATCAGCTTCATCTCATCACCAGTGACAACTTTTTATTGACTAGAATAGGTAGGAATTATGCTAAGCCTTTTATATGTATATTGATTAAATCTGATGTTGTACATATGACAGTCAAATCCAGGTTTGTCTATTTCTAAAAGTTTTGCATTCAGTATCATTTTAAAGCATCTGTTTCATAAAAATCACCAAATTTTGTTGTACTCTGCGTATTATCTTTTGTGAATTGTTGGTTTATTCCCTTTGCTCATTTTTCTCTTAGGTTGTTCAGTCTGTAAAGTATCTTGGTACCATAAATATATCACTCCTTTGGATAAATTGTTTTTGCTCACTTATTAGTTTTTCTGGGCATCAAGGGAATATAACCAGGGTTGGAGTGCTGCCAGTAGCAAGGAAGCTTTCTCTTCATCCCAGTCTTTCAGGTATTACCTGAGTTTATTATAACTTTGTTGCTCCCTCATGTCCATTTTCTTCCTCTCTCTCCGTTAATTGAGCAGATTTTTACGTTTCTTTAAACACTAGGCAGAAAACGACCATACCAAAATGAGCCCAAATTGCATGCCCATGGGAGGCTTCCCAACTGGAATATCTGGCAACCATTTCTACATTCTTTAGGGGAAAGACAATCTGATGTTGTCAGCTTGTGTTGTATCCACTCCTGGCTTAATCCATGTGGCTGGGCCATTTTCACAAGTGTTGTTATGCTTGAACTCATTGTTGTAGCCACTGTGTCAATCCATCTCATTGAGGTTCTTCCTCTTTTTTGCAGACCCTCTACTTTACCAAGCATGATGCCCTCCAGGGACTTGTCCTTCCTGATAACATGTCCAGAATATGTGAGACGAAGTCTCACCATCCTTGCTTCTATTGAGCATTCTGGCTGTACTTCTTCCAAAGCAGATTTATTTATTCTTTAGGCAGTCCACGGTATATTCAATATTCTTCACCAACACCATAATTTAAAGGCATCAATTCTTCTTCTGTCTTTCTTATTCCTTGTCCAGCTTTCACATGCATATGAGGCCATTGAAAACACCATAGCTTGGGTCAGGCACACCTTATCCTTGAAGTAACATCTTTGCTTTTTAACAATTTAAAGAGGTCTTTTGCAGCAGATTTGCCCTGCGCAATACGTCGTTTGATTTCTTGGCTGCTGCTTCCATGGGCTTTGGGTGTGGATCCAAGTAAAATGAAATCTTCAACAACTTCAATCTTTTCTCCGTGTATCATGATGTTGCTTATTGGTCCAGTTGTGAGGATTTCTGTTTTCTTCATGTTGAGGTGTAATCCATAATGAAGGCTGTGGTCTTTGATCTTCATCAGTAAGTGCTTCAAGTCCTCTTCACTTCCAGTAAGCAAGGTTGTGTCATCTACATATCGAGGGTTGTTAAAGAGTCTTTCTCCAATCCCGATTATAGTATTTCTGCTATATTTGTAATGCCTGTATATGTGAAAATTAGTCGTGTCCTCTTTCTCTTTCCTGGTAGTAGTATCAACCATATGAAACCAGGAAATAGTACACAAATTTCAGAATTTCTTCTTCTGAGATTTCAGAGGGACCAGAATTGCAACCCTTCTTTGGGCTGTTCTTGTCCATGTACCTGATCACCCTGCTTGGAAACCTGCTCATCATCCTGGCCATCAAATCAGACTCTGATCTCCACACTCCCATGTACTTCTTCCTTGTCAACCTTTCCTTTGTAGATAACTATTTTACCTCCACCACTGTCCCAAAGATGCTGGTGAATATCTAGATGCAGAGCAAAGTCATTTCCAATGAAGGCTGCATCACCCAGATGTACTTTTTTGTCCTTTTTGGAGGGCTGGGCAACTTCCTCCTGACTGTGATGGCCTATGAATGCTTCCTGGCCATCTGTCACCCCCTTCACTACACAGTCATCATAAGCCCCAGGTTCTGTGGATTGCTGGTTCTGGTGTCCTGGACCATCAGTGTCCTGCATTCCTTGTTAGAAACCTTAATGGTGTTGAGGCTGTCCTTTTGTACAGACGTGGAAATCCTCCACTTCTTCTGTGAACTTAATCAGGTGATCCAATATGCCTGTTCTGACACCTTCATCAATGACACAGTGATGTATTTTGCAGCTGTGCTGCTGGGTGGTAGTCCACTTACTGGGATCATTTTCTCCTACTCTAAGATTATTTCCTCCATTTGTGTAATCTCATCAGCTCAGGGAAAGTGTAAAGCATTTTCCACCTGTGCATCTCACCTCTCCATTGTCTCCTTATTCTATTGTACTACCCTAGGGGTGTACTTTAGTTCTGCTGCTACGCACAATACACACGCAATTGCAATATCCTCGGTGATGTACACCGTGGTCACACCCATGCTGAACTCTTTCATCTATAGCCTGAGAAATAAAGACGTAAAGGAGACTCTGAGGAAATTGCTTGTGAGGGAGGCCATAAAATAGTTGAATAAGTTGCTATGACTTCAAGGCTCAAGACCTCAGAGCCAGAAATCATGATTCTTTGATCAGATCATGGAGGTAGAACCTGCTCTTTTTCTATTTATATCCTGGAGTTTCAATCTCTTTGATTTTAAGCAACTCCTTTTATTAGGGTCTCAGGTGTCTATAATATCCAGACAGTTTTTCTTTTTCTCCAATTTTCTATTTTCCCAGTTATTCTAACCAGGATCAGAAACTAATTGGATATTCCCATTTATTGCTCAAGGCAACACTGATTTCTTAAAGATAATTTCTTCTCAAATGACGTTTACTATCACAAGTAATTTTTCCTTTGTTTTATTGAAAGTGATGAGTTGTACTACTCCTGTGGTAGAAAACTAGACTGGGGAACTCAGATCATTTATATAATTATGTTGTAGAGAAAAATCTGCAAGCATAGTTTTTCACTTTAGTGTTCATCATTTCTTTCAATATGACTACCTTAACTGCTCTTCCTGATAATGTAGACTTTAACCCACTTGAGTGTTTCCTAGATGGTCGGCTACTTCTATTCTCTTCATTAGGATCCCATTCTCTTATTCAGCTTAGTGTCCACAGTGCCTACAGAAGGAAGCAAAGCAAAATGTATCTCTCAGATACATGTCTTTGAGAAGACACATTTGTGCAAATCGATTGAGTTAATGTGGCAAGAGTCAGAGATGACCTTAAATATGATGGAGTAAAATTCTAAAGCATACATTGTATTACTATGGAAAAGATTTATATTTGATAATGTAAAATCTACTCATTGAAGTATGAAAGCTTGATGTCCATGTGTAAGGGGGTTTAGTCATTGGGATGACCAGCGGGGTTGCACTTTCTATATTGTTTCATTGAATCATCTTCCTGATGGCATTCTCTCCCTAGCAGATTTCCTCCTCTAGGTCTGATCTTTGTTTTGTCTTGCCATAATCACCTCTTTATCATTTCTTTATAGCCACGCTTACTTTCTTTTTCACATTGAAAACTTTTATTTAAATGTAATATTCACAGAGAAAAGTACATTATAAATGTTCAGCTCAATGCATTTCACAAACTAAATACCAGTGTATAAGTAGCTCCTAGAAACTCACTCACCTGTGCCACTTCTAGGTGTCACCATCCCAAAGAAACCACTTTTCAGACTTTAAACCATAGATTAATTTTGATTGTTCTTTATATAAATGAATCATATAGTATATATTGTTTTGTAGCGAGCTTATTTCACTGCGTTCATTTGTTGGATTTGGTTGTAAACTATTGTCATTGATGTATAGTATTCTTTTGTATGAATAAACATCACTTTATGTACCCAGTTTAACACTGATGGGAATTTGAGTCATTACCTTTTGGGGCCTATTACCAGTAATGTTGCATTGAAAATCCTGGCACATGTCTTTGGTGAATATGGATATATAATGGGAGATAAAGAAAAAGATGACTTTTGTAAACAAAATAAGAAAACACTGTAGAGAATTTGGATTCTAGCTGATAAGGAAGAGATACCCTTGATATTGAATTTGTTAGTGGTCAAAGCACAAAACAGAAGTTTAGATACAATAGAATGCAGTGAATGTAAAAATCCCACCCAAAGCTGGAGACTAAAATGGTATAGGATTCATCCATTGCTGGTGGGAATGTAAAATGGTGCACCACTGTGGAAAACATTTCGGAAAGTTCCTCAAAAAGTTGAACATAGAACTACCATATGAACCAATCCTCAGTATATACACAAAAGAAGCGATGACATGAATGTAAACAGAAACCTGTCCACCAATGTTCATTGCAGCACTTTTCAGAAGAGCCAAAAGGTGGAAACAGCTAAAATTTCCATCGACAGATGAATGGATAAACAAAATATGTATATACAATGTAATATTATGCAACCATAAAGAGAAATGAAATTCTAATGCATACCAAAACATAGACAAACCTTGAAAACATCATGCTGAGTGAAATAAGTCAGTTGTATAAGGACAAATATTGTATGACCTCATTTGGTGAGGAACTTAGGCCTACTACCAACAGCTAAAAGCGGATTCTCCAGTCCCTGCCAAACTTTCCAATGACTGCAGCACCGCCAGCCAGCATCCCAACTGAAACTTCTTGAGAGATCTTGAACCAGAACCACCTACTAAGCCATTCCTGAATTCCTGAAGCACAGAAGCCATGTGGGATAATCAATATTGATTATAGTCTTAAGCTGATAAGTTTTGGGCTAATTGTTCTATGCAGCAGGAGAAAACTAGTACAACACCCAGTATCTCAGCTATCAACATGGAATTCTCAAAAATCCTCTTGGCCCACAATTAATATATCAATACACTTTTTTCTTCCTTTTTAATTGTACTATAGATGAAGGTTTACAGAGCAAATTAGTTTCTCATTAAACAATTAACACACATTGTTTTGTGACATTGTTTGCCAACCTCTCGACAGGTCAACACTCTCCCCTTCTTGATCTTGGGTTCCCCATTACCAACTTTCCCGTCCCCTTCTGCCTTCTCGTCCTTGCCCCTGGGCTAGTATGCCCATTTAGTCTCGTTTTGTTTTGTGGGCCTATCTAATCTTCAATGTACTTTTTCTTGTTTGACCCTAAATGTATCCTCTTAATATCAAATCAGAGGTAGTTTTGAGAGAGAATGGGGGCGGAAGACATGTAACTATGGAGGCAGAGATTGGTTTGATGCAACCACAAGCCCAGGAATGCTGACAGAATTGATGCCCTTGAATTATGGTGTGGGTGAAAAATATTGAACATACCATGGACTGCCAGAAGAATGAACAAATCTGTCTTGGAAGTACAGCCAGAATGTTCCTTAGAAGGATGATGAGACATCATCTCATATACTTTGGGCATGTTATCAGGAGGGACCAGTCCCTGGAGAAGGACATCATGCTTGGTAAAGTAGAGGGTCACGGAAAAAGAAGAGGATCCTCAACGAGATGGATTGACACAGTGGCTGCAACAATGGGTTCAAGCACAACTATTGCGAAGATGGTGCAGGACCGGGCAGTGTTCTTTTGTTGTACATAGGGTCACGATAAGTCAGAACCGACTTGAAGGCACCGAACAACAAACAACATGCCTTGTTTCCCAGTAATGCGCTAATCTTTCTATGATTTAGAAATAGGATTTTACATATTAAACATTAATTTTTGATTTTTGAGAATTCCATGTTGATAGCTGAGATACTGGGTGTTGTACTAGTTTATATCAGTCAAATAGCCTTTAATTTTCTGCTTGGCAAACTTTCTTATTCAGAAGTTTTCCACTTTTTGGTCCAATTATCTATCTTTTCCTCTCTTATTTCTACCAGGAAGAACTTCTGTATTCTAACATTACATGTATGTATGTGTAAATGTAAACTTATATTATCTGTATATTTATGTTTTCTTACGATAGCTAGACTTGTCTTTGTTCCCACATATAGTATTTGAAATTTATTTTGGAATATGGAAATAGGAGTTAACATTATTTTTTCCAAGTAGCTAATCAATCATTAACACTATTTATAATTTTAAAACACCCCCTAAAATAACTAATAATAAAAATGCAAGTTAACATGATACAAAATGATATATCCTAAATTATGGTGTGCATCACGTTAAATAACAAAACTCTAGAATTATTCCCTTTAAAGTCAGAGAGAGAGAGAAAAAAAAGAGCTTTTCAACTCTTATAAGTATTTTTAAAGTGTTCTGGGACTGCAAACCAGTGCAATAAGACCTAAAAGAGAAATTAGTGTTGTGAACTAATATTATTTGGAGAAAGAAGATGTGTTTGACAAAAATTAATAAGAAAATCCTGAAAACTAACATGACATATCATAAATACAGATAAGTCAAGAGCTTTTCTAATATAATAACAATAGTAGGGAAATCATGTGGGAGGATCTCATTCTTAATGACACTAAACCTAAAATACCCTAAAATGTTAACAAGGAATGAACATATTCTGTATTTTAAATACTATAGAAAAATTTACCCAAAAATGCACTTGAATATTAAGAGGAAGATTGTTGTTACTGGAATAGGAATATGAATGTAATAAAGATATCAATTATTTCCAAATTAATTTATAACTTTAATGAAATCTTCACAAAAACTGCAGTGTAACATGGCTTTTCTTGTAACATGGCTACATGATTTTAAAGATGGTCTGAAAGATTAATTTGATAATAGGAATAAATTCATGATAAACAGAATATTAAGTTACTTTCTCTATTCAACATTTAAACATAATATGAGGGTAGATAATTGAAACTGTGGGGAGGAAGGATTACATAACGTGCTCCCTGGGACAGCATAAAAATCACGACTCAAATGATCACTTATAAGAATGTGGTCAAGGAAATTATTATAATTAAAAAAAAGAAACGGAGTAAAGGTCATTTACAGATTGATCTAAGAGGCAAAAAATATAAACTTAAAATAAAACAGTATCATAAAGGAAACTTAGAAAGAATATACATATCTAAAAATGGGCAAGTTCTTAATAGAATATGTCACTTCCATATGGTGGGATATTTTAAATCTGATGATTATTGGAGGATGTTGGAAAATGTGCATAAGATTCTCTTATACAAATGAGGAAAGTCTATAATTGGACTCTATGTTCATAAATTCCATTTTGTTAAATTTATACATGGCAAACTGTAATATAAATGAACAATGACCAAAAATTACTAATGTTAGTTATTACTTTTTTAGCAGCAGGATTGGCAAAGCTCTGGAGGATCTAACCAGGTGAAATGACACAAAGGCAGCACAGTGGAAGACAGAACATTCCGACGACTGAAAAGAGCCATCCTCATGGTAGGGATTTCCCCATTCCCATCAGCACTGGGCAGATTTGAGGAGCAGCCATGCAGGACTGTGGAAAGGATGATAGCCTTGGGTACACGGAAGCACTAAGCAGTCGTTCTCAAACTGGAATACACATCAGCATCCCTTGGAAGACTTGTTAGAGCACAGATTGCTGG